TACTACTAACAGCCAGCAGTACTACTACTAGTAGTAACAGACAAGAAAATGCCTAGGGGTTCCGGCCAAGTCGCAACGGGGTTTAGTGAGGATGGTATCGCGTATTRTACCACAATTRTACCGGTACTGCTAGKAGTGACACACTATGGTGCYAACTGTGGTTGTCGACAACTATACGCTACGATATGATTTTGTTGACCATCTAGGCGTTTTATCCTAGCCATGCCTTCAAAATGATACTGGGTTTGGAATGGGATAGCCTGGTTACTACTAGTGTGTTTTTAAGGGACCTCTCGGCGCTTTTGTAATTCCTCCTGCCGGGCGACCTCGTCCTCGAAGATTTCCGTATCGAGCTCCTCCTCAGGCAGGAACAAGCTCTCATAGATAGCACCGGGATTCTCGGGCGTCGAGATGCATTCCTTCAGGGTTGCAATGTATGTCTGAACGAGCTCTTTGTACATGCCGCCGGATTCGTGCTCGGGATTCACAGTTTCGCTCCGAATGGCCTGGTCAAGGCTCGAAAAGGTGGGATTCTGGTAGCGAATAGCGCGRAATGCCTCGTCCAGGGCGTCCTTGTTGATGCCGTTGGCGAGCAATTCGTCCAGGTCGCTMGGRTCGACGTATTGCTCCCAGTTATCCAGACTGTCCAGGAGCTGGTCTTCGTCGCGGGCTGAGCGGTTGTGGCGCTCAATGTTTCTGGAATCCCGGACCTTTTTCATAACCACCCCGTTGTGCCCGAGCCCACGGACCCGGCCGTTCGATTCGCAGGCCTCCATAGCGGAATCTGCTTCCCCGTGTTCGTCGAACCCGACAAAAGCCCTGCCGGTGGGAAGGCCCTCGTGGCATGTCACAAACTCGATCGATCCTTCGACGTCGCGGGACATGGCACAGAATGGCTGGAAGAACTCGGATAGTTCTTGCTTCGACACGGAAGGGTCCAGGTTTCGCAGGTGAACGCATGTGGCGTGCGAGAGGTAAAAGTTTTTAGTAGGCATGTCGCCGTCCACGATCAAACGAGGGCCGAGGTCTCGTTCCAGGTCCGTTCCGGCGGGTCCGGTGTGCTTTCCTGTATAGACTAGTTCTCGTCGTGCCTTGCTGTACCGTATGCGATGCTGTCCAAAGGTTTTCAATCGCTCTTCCACTATGGTTGATTTTGTAGCGTTCTCAGCGTGCTCCGGCGATTCGAATCGCAGCACGGCAGAATGGGGGGTAAGCATGACAAAATCATCTGGCGTCAAACCACCGTATAGGAKGTCGCCGGTGTCGGTTCCAGACGGAAATAGAGTCGATGCCAAAACCGATGGCGTGAGTCCCGATGGAAGATTTTCCAAAATCACAAGCTTGTCCATTTCACTTGCATCGAACGACTTTTTGTCTCCATCAGCAGGTATGTATTTGGACAGCATGACGGGGCTCTCAATGACTTTTTGCACCGGTCCAAATTCAATGGCGAATCGTTGGTCTTTYCTGGATGGGAAGCCAACAAACGCGGAAGAAATGCTCGCTGGGTATACAGCTTCWGGGSGGACGTCAAAGAGAGCGGCGGCCGTTTTCTGGAGCTCCAATGCGTGCAATGGATTGTCGAGATCCCCCGGTTGTTCGTTCACTGACAGTAGCGGAGGTATTCCCCATACGTAAATGAATCGAGTGTGACCCTCCACGAATTCTAGAGGAGGATTTCTCCGGCGAACKGGTAAGTCAGGAACCGGCTCCCTGGTGCTTTCTGGGTGAGGGCTCGCATATCGTAGTTGCCCATATTTGGTAGGATGCTCAGCCATTGCCAGGACAAAGTCATTCATGGTTGGTCCYTTCAGAACCAATGGTGTGCAAGCGTCGTATTCTTTCGGATTCGGAGGCTTTTCGAAACCCTTTACCCCGAGTGTATCCATTATGAATTCGGGGGGTCCATTAAATTGCATTTGTTGATGTTGTTTTGGTTTTTCGTGGACCTTCTTYTKTGCTGATTCGTTGTACGGCTCCGCATCATCGAACATGGCAAAGGTYTCGTCGTCGACCTCGACAACTAGATTTCCGTCTGCATCCCGAGTGGCATCAGCTTTCAAAACATCAAACATCTCCTGTTTTTTGACATCGCCTCTGCCTTCATAATCTATCTCATTCCAATAGTAGTTTTCTTCATCCTCGAGATGTTCGAGCGAATTATAGACGTGRTAAAATTTTGTGATCTCTTGATAGTCTTCTGGATTCAAATCTTCCAACTGGCTACCCTTTTCAATGCTTCCCGTTTTTTTCTTGGCCTTTTTCTGTTGCTGTCTTCCTTGCATTGGGTAATCTTCCTCTTCCATCATCATGTTTCCGTCGTTGTCGTATCCCATTACCTGGTCCTCTTCACTCTCTAGGWGAGGATCGGCTCCACGAACGCCACGGCCCTTTCCCTTTCGGCCTGTCAACTTTGGAATGCCCGATCGATGATTCTTCAATTCACCCCGCGCGGCGGGTTTGAAGAATCGATCGGAATAGTTYTTTTTGTCGCGATTGTTACGATTTCGGGACCATCCACCGCCTCGTTTTCCACCTTTTCCGTCTCGTCCTCCTCGGCCATCGCCTGCATCCGAAGAAAATGATCTGAAATATACGGTATCACCCTCKATCAACTTGCTGTTTTTCCCACAGTGTTTGTAACTACTGTTGTTGGCGAARGAACGAGTAGCGATCCTCGAGCGTTGAACTATCGAAAACGACCACATCTTTCTCGCCTGGATCTTCGGTTTTATTGAAGGAGTCCCTTCACTTCAAACTGAGTGTTGGTTGGTTATCGGTTGCACGTTGTGAAGTGTTTTGAATCCAGCTTGGATCTAGAGTAAGTGACAGCCACTCTCTACCGTTCCGCAGAAAAGGTTAGAAAAAAGTACCGACCGTACCGTACGGTACTACGGTAGAAACGAAGTCGGAAGAGAGACACCAGGCATGAGGACCCGGACGATTCTGGACTTGTTTGTACGGTGCTCTACTCCCCGATGGTACATACCGTACGACGATAATTTTCACGAAGAAATCACGGTCAACTGACAGACAAGTGGTGAACCCTGTAATCAAAAATCATGTACAGGAAGTCAGTTCCAGCAAACCAAACAAAATATCCTCAAAGTATTGTGGTGTGCTAATATGAGGAAGTGTGAAATAACCAGCTTGAAGTTGAACTGTGAGTTTGTTTTGTAATGCTTCTCAATTTACTACTACTAGGAGTACTAGTACCTAGTACTACTAGTAGTACTAGTACCACTAGTACTACTAGTAGACATACTAGTAGTAGTAGTTGTTGTAGTAGTGGCTCCTGATGGTAGTAGTAGTAATACTACTACTGCGAGTACTACTATTGTAGCTTTGGTTCATTACTCACACCACCATCAGTTTGGTTTGTTGCACCTACTTTTAGTAGTAGTACTAGTAGTAGTAGTACATCACACAAACCGATACAATGGTGGTTTGTTCAGTTTCCTGCGTGGACCAAAACAAAATTGCACGTGTATTTTTTGATGTTATCCTTTACCAGGAACTTTGTGTGCTTGAACAAAACATTTCTTACATACTTACACAGTGTTTGTTTCAACACCATCTCTACATGGCCCAGTCTTTTGTCACAAGCAACCACCATTCTCTCCTCCTGTTCTTCATTCTGTCTGACTAGTACTTGCAAGGACATGTCTGTTGATAAGCTGTAGACAAATCAGATACAAATTTCTGCACTATACATGTCAAATTGGTGTTTCATAGAAACCATATAGCTTGTGTTAGTCAATACTACTTCTAGTAGCTACTATTCATCAACAAACAACATGCCACTCTCCCTCTACATTTGTTGACCAAACCTAGGAATACCTAACTTACTTGCCTGCTGAAGATGTTAACATATCTAACTCAATGCTTCCATAGTAGTAATACTTTCAATGCATCTAGATTTTATGTGAAAACCATACTGTATGACAATCCTTTTTTTAGTGTACGTAAAGGAGGTGGCATGTGTGAAACGGGGGTACATGCAATTGGCAAAGAAGACTAGTACTACTCCAATCAACTTTGTGATGCAGTTGTGCAATAAGCTCAGACACCTTTCATGAATCTAAAAAACCATGTTATCATGGTGTCAAGAATTGTGGTTACCTGTCCTCAGTCAGACATTGTGGAAGCCACCAATGGCAATCCTGGTGATGTTCCTCTCACTATCCACCTGTTGTGGAATATTTTCCTAATGCACTATCTGAGCTCTCAAGCCACAGGTGGAGATCCCCAGTACAAAGTAGTTCCAAAAACCAAGTTTTACCTTTGCAGCAAGGTAGTGTGATCGATTACTGTAAACTATTATCGTTGCCCATGTTTAGAGTATCAAATGCGAAGTATAGTGATGCAAGTAGTTGAAAATATTTCCTTTTTAAGTACGAGAAGGCTTTAGTTTGATATCTATTCTTTATTAGCAACGAGGGTAGATTTGGATCTTGTTACANCACGAAGAAATCACGGTCAACTGACAGACAAGTGGTGAACCCTGTAATCAAAAATCATGTACAGGAAGTCAGTTCCAGCAAACCAAACAAAATATTATCCTCAAAGTATTGTGGTGTGCTAATATGAGGAAGTGTGAAATAACCAGCTTGGAGTTGAGCTGTGAGTTTGTTTTGCAATGCTTCTCAATTTACTACTACGAGGAGTAGTACCTACTAGTAGTACTACTAGTACTACTAGTACCACTACTACGTAGTAGTAGTAGTGGCTCCTGGTGGTAGTAGTAGTAATACTACTACTGCTAGTACTATCGTAGCTTTGGTTCATTACTCACACCACCATCAGTTTGGTTTGTTGCACCTACTTTTAGTAGTAGTACTACTAGTAGTAATAGTACATCACACAAACCGATACAACGATGGTGGTTTCTTCAGTTTCCTGCGTGGACCAAAACAAAATTGCACGTGTATTTTTTGATGTTATCCTTTACCAGGAACTTTGTGTGCTTGAACAAAATGTTTCTTACATAGTTACACAGTGTTTGTTTCAACACCATCTCTACATGGCCCAGTCTTTTGTCACAACAAGCAACCACCATTCTCTCCTCCTGTTCTTCATTCTGTCTGACTAGTACTTGCAAGGACATGTCTGTTGATAAGCTTTAGACAAATCAGATACAAATTTCTGCAATACACAGGTCAAATTGGTGTTTCATAGAAACCATATAGCTTGTGTTAGTCAATACTTCTAGCTATTCATCAACAAACAACATGCCACTCTCCCTCTACATTTGTTGACCAAACCTAGGAATACCTAACTTACTTGCCTGCTGAAGATGTTAATATATCTAACCCAATGCTTCTGTAGTAGTAATAGTTTAAATGCATCTAGATCTATTTTATGTGAAAACCATACTGTATGACAATCATTTTTTTAGTGTACGTAAAGGAGGTGGCATGTGTGAAACGGGGGCACATGCAATTGGCAAAGAAGACTAGTACTACTCCAATCAACTTTGTGATGCAGTTGTGCAATACGCTCAGACACCTCTCATGAATCTAAAAAACCATGTTATCATGGTGTCAAGAATTGTGGTTACCTGTCCTCAGTCAGACATTGTTTATGCCACCAATGGTGGCAAACCTGGTGATGTTCCTCTCACTATCCACCTGTTGTGGAATATTTTCCTAATGCACTATCTGCGCTCTCAAGCCACAGGTGGAGATCCCCAGTACAAAGTAGTTCCAAAAAACAAGTTTTACCCATTGTGTTGGGAAAATTTTCAAGAAAAATTGGAAAAAGAAAAAGTTCCTATTAAAGCCACTTCCTCTGACTTGACAAACAAGTTGAAAAAAACTGAGGCTGGAAGTGTTGCATCTGCAAGAACTATGATTAAGTACATGAACACTGTTTGGAACCTGTTAGATTGGCACTTTAAGTATGTAGACCTTCCTCTATCACAAAATAAAGACAGAAACTTCTCATACAATCCCACTGAAGGAATGTATACACAAGATTGTGAGGTTTATGTCAACAAAATGGAGAAGTTATTGGCCAATCTCATGCATGACACAGCCCTCTGGAAGTTGGTCAGCAAGGACACTGCTTCAAAAACAATGTACCAAAATAGATGGGATTTGCTTGCAAAATGTAATGTCAAGCAATTGTGGGATACTGCAGATTCCCAAAAACACATCCCATCTGAGGAGATGACCGGCCAGTATCTCGACTCCAAATTTCTGTTTTTGAATCCTCTGGGTGGGTAACTTCACAGGGGTCATAAATTTAGAGGGGTGCGCATCGATTTGAAAAATCATATTCCATCCTCGGTCCCAAAATTAAAAAATCAGCTCAAGGATTTTTTATAATTCTAATTTTTACTGCATAATACTAGTAAAACTATCCAACTTTTAAGTAGTCATAACTTTATCAAAAATAGTAATAAAATAATTTTTGAAGACACTGTCTACACCAGTTTTTTATGAGGATTCTGAATATACCATTTTGTCAAGTATCAAATGGATCTTTAGTGTACCTTTTTAATTGTATTGGAGTATTAGTACTAATGCCACCAGTAGTAGTAGTACTAGTGCTGGTAACAGGAATACTGGTAGTACTAGTAGTGCTACTAGAAGAACCTGGATGTTGTAGGACTAGGACCAGTAATAGTAGTAGTAGTAGTAGTGGTACTCCTATTTATTCTAGTAATGTTACTTGTGGTACTAGTATTAGGAGTACTACTACCAATACTAGTAGTAGTAGTAGTAGTAGTACTACTACTACTACTAGTGGTAAAAGATATGAAGTCCCTACAAAAAATGAATAATGTTGTTTGGTCAAGTGTGATTTAGTACTACTGTATTTATGCCATTTATTTCTTTACTAGTAGTGGTTCTAGTAGTATTGGGCTGCGCTTCTGGTGCTCTTTGTTCCTCTTCCTCCTACACTTCCTCCTTCCTTGTTGCATTCCTRCTGCTGCTATCATCTCCAYCACTTCTATTGGATCTCTTTCTTGAACCAATCACATCCACAAGTATTCCCATTACCAGCACCACCAGTACTACTAGTACTGGTAATATCGTCATTTTCGAGGGGAGGATTGCGTTCGAAGGAAGTTGGGTCATTCTGGTTTGGGAAAGAAAGGTTGCACTCCGTCACCAGGGTGAMATTTGTAAGTAGGGAGTGAAGAGCTTTGCGAAATGACCCCACGTAAATTTGTTTGCGACCACAATGAGATGGACCAAATGAAGCTTTGTAGCGCCAATTGATGACAACGGGCTCGAAATCACCACCTTCTATTTCGGGTGCAGTTTTGTACAATTCTTTCATTGCAGATTTGCGTGTTTTGAATAAGTTCCCAT